TTTCACTTCCATTGCATTGCTCCATTGTTATTCTATTAATGATTATCACAAAGTTGAGAATAATACAATAGTTGACTCCAAAAAAAAGAAGAAAATAGAAGGCACAATTTCGTTTATTTTCGTTAATTAAATTTTTTTCCGTTAATTATTTTGTTAAATAATATAAATGAAATAGAACTTTAGAAACGGAGCCACTCCAAAATTTAAATGACTTAAATATAATCTTCACTTTATCTGATGAAACTTTATAGAAAAGAAATTAGAAAAATATGTTTAAGCAACTGATGTACTGTTTCCAAGAGAGTTCAAGAACTATTATTTAACTGAACTAGGTGGTCTAAGGAACTATATATAAAGGGTACTTACTATTCATATTTAGGGACTCATCATCCCCACTCTTAAGATATATAAATTCTTCGACCAATAGTATCACACCATACCAGATAGTTATTTACAAGAAAAAACTTTGGTGCAATGTCCACCCAGTATGGTTTGTCCTAGCCGGCATCCAATTGAGAGATATTTCTTTTCATCGCATCTATTCAAATGCGTTTATCGGCTTCCTCAAAAGTTCTTTTCAAACAAATTTTTCGATAAAAGGTACGAATACAATACATCATTTATTTTTTTTTTTTCAATCGCCCGATTAAACCTCTTTTCGCCGAATCATTTCCATTGGTATCTCTTTTCTTTTCTTCGATTTTCGCCAAACAAAGCGTCTTTGGACGATCATTTTTCCTATATTTTTCATTACCAAGCTGCTTAATTACAAGTACGAGAGAGACAGGAAGGGTGAGAGAGAGAGAGAGAGAGAGAGAGAGAGAGAGAGAGAGAGAGAGAGAGAGAAAGACAGAAAGAATAAGAAGGTGTGACATAAAACTGCAGGTAAAGAGTGGGCGGGAAGTGGAGAAAGAGGGTGATTTTGGAGGGGATAGAAGAGATAGCGAATGGGAAGTGAGTAGCAGGTAATAGTGAACAGAGTGGGAGAATGAGAATAGAATGGGAAAGAAGAAGAGGTGGAGAAAAGGAGACAAAGTCATAATGGGAAATATAGAGAAGCTTTACAAAAAAAATATTACGTCTCAAGATATGGAAGTGATAGGCCGAAGGAAATGTAAATTTCTAAATAGATATTTTCGGAGTAAACTAAGTATTCATTTTTAAAGTATACATGTTTGTCTTTTGGAATAAAAGTACGAAAGATTTCTTGTCATATGTTTAAACTTTCGTTAAATTTTCTTTATTAAATATTGAAAAGTATTTCTTAAATGACGCTGTAATATATCTATCGTTATCTTTGTAGAATCTAACGCGATATATATTTTGGAGAGAAATTAAACTGCGACCACTTCTCGTTTGCAAAATGGAGCAGTATAAGAGAGAATATATTATTATCGTAGAGATTTATTCAGAAATATTTCATGATTGATAATTATTGTTATTTTATAAGAAAAAAAAAAAAAAAAAGAATGTTTCTCTTAACACTTCACCAACGGGTCACGTAAATTTACGTTTTTTGTTTTTTTTTTCTTTTTTAATTTTTATTAAGTTGCATCAATTTTTCATTTTTATTGATCATTAATTATCATTTTATTAATCATTATTAATTCAAGTAAAAGCGTAAATCTAAGTGGCTCGTCTTAAAAAAGTAAAAATGTAAAAAATGTAAATTTATGTAGCCCGTCCGTTGTAAATGTTAAATTAATATATTTTAACTTTTTATCATTTATATTTCTATGTAAAAAGAAATTATTAATATTTTTTATAGTTTATAATTCTTTTACCTAAATTATGTAAACAATCGATAAATTTTTAACCGTTACATGATGGTGCTAATTAAAAAAAAAGTTTTGGTTGCGAAACTTTTTTTTTATCCGTTATAGTTTGTTATTTACAATAGAAAATTGAATCAATTTTATTTCTTTTTATGGGGTAAACAAAAAATTCGATCAATAGACTTTTAGCTTTCGATTTTGGCCAGCGCTTTTGTTTTGTACCAATTTTTAAATTTTTTGTTCTAGAGGAGAATGAACATATTTATATCTTATTAGAATGTTTAATTAGTGTTTTCACAAATGTTTACACCAAAACACAATTCAGATGCGTTTTAGGCGCAATTCAGGATTATGGAGTCAATTTTTTGATCATTTGCTTTTTCGCTCAATTGTGAATTTTGTAGAAATTTTCTGGATACCACTTAATTTTCGTTAATTTTTATTTTATTTTATTTGTCGTTATTCAAAATATAAAAAAGAAATGATGACAGGAAAAAAATATATGTTTATCGAAATGTATTGTATAAGTTTATAATTTTAGGAATGTTATGGATGTTTATTTTGACGCTTTTTATATCGCGTTTAAATTTAATACACGTTATTTATTTATTAGGTTTTATGTATATATTATTCTAGGGATTCAAGGTGTGCGTTCGATATTTAAATGGTGATTTAATTAAAATGTTGGAAATATAATTTTCCAATAATCAAATATTTTTTAAGCTGTTTCTTTATAAAAATTACGAATGTATTCCATATTTATTTGTTTAAGTATATGAATTTAATATAAGGGCAACTATTTAAATTTATTTAAGAGGAGAAATTCAAATTTATGACTAGTTACTTCATTAAATGATGAGCAGATATAATAGAATGAAGTACTTGAAGTAATTGAAAGTTATAATTAAGTAAATTGGATTACATAAAATTTGTTTATGTTTTATAAATCGATATTTATGATACTTTAATATGGAACAACTTTAACTATGACACTCATAATATTTATTTGCTCTCAATCGATTTCTAACAAGACCGTTTAATCAAATTGTAGTACTCTTCTCTTCTATGTAACATTTATAATTTATATAGGAAAGGAGAACAATTAGCGTGAATAATATTAATTATAAAGTCTCGGAGTAAGTGAGAATTAGCGTTATTACCGTCATTTTAGAACGTCGAACGTACATTATCTTCTCTTGTGCAGTAGCTTGATTTAGATTCTTTTTCACAGTGACACAGTTATCCGTAGACATTGCTTTTGGCTTGACATTTATCATGCTAGCAATGCGGAGAGTCCTCTGATTTCCCTAGGTGCGCATATACGTGCATACACGTGCATACTCTTCGCGTATAGATTAGAACAGAAGCATTGTGTAGATAATTCGTAACCACATTTCTCATTGACGAGAGGCCAATGCTCGTTGTTATACGAATCCGTTATTTTTCCGATACATTTTTAACGACCTTAAAGGTGGTATGACGTAAATGTCGGTATCACTGCAGTGATTGAAATATTAGTACGGATATCTATATTTCTTTTTTGTTTATTTATTACACCCATTCGTTTCTTTTCTAACATTTATTCCCTCGATTTCGATAAAATGAAAAATCGTGCCTTACTCGTTCCTTCCTTCTTTCGGAAATTGATAGAGAAAGTAGAGCGAAAGATTCATACGTGCAGAGATTTTTAGGTCAACGATGCTACCCGATGATTTATCGTAAGACAAATCGATAAACGAAAACTAGGAAGCGTACGGCACAGTTACGATTTTGACCTTATATTTTCTGCTGAAAAGCTTGGTGACGACAGAAGGACTTTGGCCCTCCTAGATGCTAGATAAGCCAATAAGCTCTTACTTCTTTTTACGTTCTTTTTACGAAATAAAGAGACAGACAAGAGTGTGAGATAATTCGAAACAAATTCGATAATCGTTTCTACGAATATTTAACCTTATTACTCTGACTTTATATTACGTTTCTTGTTTTTTTTTTTTTTTTTTTTTTTTTTTAATGAATATATCGATTTATATAATATTATTAGAATCCTAACTGACTCTCCATATGATTCCATATTCGGATAACGTAAATATGTAAATGAAAAGTATATTCATACTTCACTTATTACCAGGTATTATTCCAGATGGACTTCGAGATGTTAAAAATATTATTAGTTTCAAAGGTGTCAATTATCTGAGATTTTTTATGAATAGTAAATTAGGTTTGTTTGACAGTTTTATTATTACAGAGAATGTTTGTGACGCTGTAAATACTCATAACGAATATCTCCCATAAAGATAATGGATAAAGTACCTGTATAAATAGATCCAGATATTTTTCATTTATTTTATCTTGTATTCGAGTCAGGTAAAAACAGTTTTAGTCAAAAATCGAATCAATGTAATTCCAATGACAAATTTTTTTTTTCTTTCTTTCTCAATAAGTCTCTCGGGAAATATAAAAAATACTAAAGACTATGCACGTTCGAAGTCGTTCGTGTTAAATTCGGGTCAGCGAGCATGGCTTGGCGAAAGGTTCCGCGCGAATGGAGGAAGAATTACTATGCGAAAAGTTCGTGCCCCTCGTTTCTTCCCTGATGGACGATTAAAACTTCCACCGTCGAATTTACAAATTCCTTCGGGGTCTTCGACTGACGGAAACGCATTAGTTCGCCTCGCTCAACGAATTTAACCCCGATCCCCTTAGCATCGCAGCAGACCTATCTCGAATTAGAATTTAAATCCGCGTAACGGCTTACTCGTAACAGCTTGATTTTTTTTTCGTCGCTATTACGCTCCCAGATAAATGTTCATAATTCGACATAGAAATTTCTCTTTTCGATCGTGAGACAGATTGAATAAAAAACAAATATTTTTGATGATAAAAAAATAAATTATTTATTACATTTCAAATTAATAAAAATTATTACAATGTATTAATAAAAGTTAAATAACATATTCAATATAACAGATACATATATAGTATGCATATATATTTGTTAAGGTTTAATGTTTAAGGCTCGTAGAAATTTAGAAAAACAAAACAAAAATGCATTTTCATTTTCAGGAAGAGGAATATCGATCGATAAATAAGAGTTTCGATAACCGGCACTTTTGATATCGCAGGAAGATCAAGGATATGATACGCATGCGCGTTCTTTTGATGGAACTTGGTGGCGCTCGTGGAAGTACGTACTAGCTAGTGGAAAGAGTGGGGGATTAATCTTCTTCGGTCGAACGGGGAAAGGCAGTCGCGGCGCGGATATTGCGGCGTCTGCCTGTAGCGGTGCGAAGCGGAACGTGTGGAGGACAGTGGAGAAGCCGCGTGCCATTGACAGGTCAACGAGAATAGCGGTAGAGGCTATCGAACGAACGAAGAAACGTTCGAAGTAACGTTCGTAGTCAGCCCAGCGAGATACCACGTGTTTGTTCGTATAGAATTTCATTAGCGTTCTCTTCTTTTCGCTGTCCTCCTTCGTCTATCTGTCTGTCTTTCTCTCTCTCTCTCTCTCTCTCTTTCTTTTTTGTTTCTCTCTCTCTCTCTCTCTTTCTCTTCCCCTCTCTTTCTCCGAACTGAACAGTCGTTTGTTTCTACGAAAGAAGAGAGAGATAGACATAGAGTTTGAATGTGCAGTTTGTCGCAGTAATTTATTCGAGAGAAGCGTGTGTACCCTACGAAAAAAATCATTTTAATTTTTCTCTCTCTTTCTCTCTCTCTCCCTTTCTCTCTTTCTATCTATCTATCTATCTATCTTTCTTTCTTTCTTTTTCTCTGTCTCTCTCTTTCTCTCGGATTTGTGAAGTAGTACGCGCGCGCGCGTAGTAACCGATATACGAGTGTGTATAATATTGTGCCACGCGGAAAGTGTCTCTACATACGACTTTCGCGGAATTACGTCGAAGGAGAAACATACATGGAGAGACTCGGTGGCGGAGATCGTTGATGCTGAGTGTCGTGCTCTCGTGTCTCTCGTGCTCTCGTGCTGTCCAGGACGTTTACCCCGATCGCCTTGACATTGAGCTTGGTCTTGCCTGACGTTTCTCCTTTAGCTTTTTGAACCACGCAACGCCCCCTTTCATCGCTCGGCAATGTTCAAGAAGACTCGCACGCTACATTAAGAATAATTTCCTACGACGACGATTATATACATCGTCGATTTATTTCCGTCATTCAGCAGGTGAGTTTTGAAATAACTTGTCTTTCTTTTTCTTTTTTTCTTTTTTCTTTTTTTTTTTTTTTCTTTTTTAATTCATACGAAAATTATCGGTGGCTCGTAAAAAATAAGAAATCGATCGATCCGTTAATGTCTTTCGTTCTTACCTTTTGTCGGTGGTCATTAGTCTTATCTGGAACGTATCATGTAAAGTGCGATCGAAAATTGTTCCGTGCTGGCATAGCGAGGTAGGGAGGGGAAAGAAAGAGAGAAAGAGAGAGAGAGAGAGAGAGAGAGAGAGAGAGAGAAAGAGAAAGAGAAAGAGCACTGTATTTACCACTACGTAACCCAGATGTACGAGTGATAGGGCTCTCTCATGCGACCTACATAAACAGGTGTACCGCCGGTACGTTCGTTCGTTTCGGCGATCAAGCGTTTCTAAGCGTTTCGTAACGACGCGTCGTTCTCGTAATTTTCATTGGAAAAATCAATGCCAGTTGAGCGCGTCTAGCGCGTCTAACGATAATTTCGTTCTCGTTGAATACTTCAATTATATTCTTTTTTCTTTCTTTCTTTCGTTTTTTCCTCTCTTTTACTCTTTTTTTTTTTTCTTAGTTATCGTTTATAAAATAAAATGGATATATGAAAATTACGTTTGGTTTAATTAATAAAATTCGAAAAATCTCATTATTGTTTAAGTAGAACTATTTGAAAAAGAAAAATGGACGAATAGAAAAATAATGTTATGTTAAATACGTTTCCTCGTAATTCTTTGTATGTAATGTTGAGTATCCTAACTACGACCTCCCTTCTCGTGACAAACGAAAAGTTAGACCGTAAGCCGAAACTCGGTCATTACGTGGTTTCCACTTTGCTTTAACGAACTTTCTAAGCATCCTTCACAATGGTCGAAGGTGGTGTGGTGTGGTGTAGTGTGGTGTGGTGTGGTGTGGTGTGGTTGGTATGGTACGGTATGGTATGGTACGGTATGGTGGTCTCTCTTCCCAAAAGCGTTTTAAAAGAATTACTTTTCAGTTCGGCTTGATTGATCGTTCGTCGTGTCAAAGCTTGTACCTAATTCCTGAAGATTCTTTCTACCTTCTACTTGATTAGTTTGCGACTCTACGATTAATTATGCCAAGGTAACTAGCGGAGGCGTTCCTCTACCCACTCTTGGATTTCTTTTCTCAGACATTAGTTTTTCTTGCTTCATCTTTCTTATTCATACAGTTTATCGTGTCAGTAGACGAATCAGAGTTTTTACAAAGGATCTACATCGATCCAACGTTTTAACGAGCCAAGCTTTCTATTCATAAGGAACGTGATCGTTTTTTCCTCTCGATGGATAGATAAAAAGAAGGGCATACGATTTTGTAACTAAACACAATAAACGTGGTGTATTGTATTTAGTGGGTAATTAATTTTTTTAAATAATTTAATTTTTATTTTTATTCGAACGTGCTCCCTCGATCGTCGTATTTAATTTAGGGTAAATTTTTTTCTGTTTTTCTCGTTTTTTTTTTCTTTTTTTAATTTACTTTTTATTTTTTTTTCTCTTTCGCCTACTTTCCTTCCTCCCCCTTTCATTCGTATGTCCTTAGATTTCTTATATTCGACAAAAGGGTCAATCATCGGTCATACGATATATTTAGTTGTCTGTATTTTTATTTCACCGTATTTTCCTGACGCACGAAGTCTCATAAATTTCCACGAATTATCGAAATTTCTCGCTTTTATCTTTGATCGATCGTCATTCATTCTCTCTTTCTCTCTGTTTGATCTGTCATTCATTTGGTACTATGTACGATACGAACGCGTCAGATGTATTTACGTGGGACAGAATTCGTGATAAAGATATTACTTCTAAATATATCTTCTCATTCGTGTATCATATGTTTATAAAAAAAAAAAAGAAAGAAAAAAAAAGTGAAAACGATCTGGAAAATACTCGTAAACGAGGAAAGATATTAAGATAATTCTAACGAGCGACATTAAAACTGTGATTTGAACTTACCCGTATATTTTTAATATCTGAACGTAAAAGAAACGCTTAAAAGATCTTTAAAAGATGGATGATTGAATGTTATTTAAGGATATATCATAGAATTTTATTCGAATAATCGTTTATTTTCTTACGTTATTTTTATTATGTTATAATATAATGAAATTTGGAAATTGATTATTTTATATATATATATATATATATAAAAGAAACAAAATGTTAATCTTGCTTATTGATATACAGGTTAACTACCGAAAGACTGAATGATATAAAACCACAATAACTTTTACAAACACATGTCTTTCAGTGGCCACACTGTATAATTCATCACGTTAAACGCTCTCTAAACTTTTCCTTTCTTCCGTACTTTGTCATCTCTCTCTCTCTCTCTTTCTCTCTCTCTCTCTCTCTCTCTCTCTCTCTCTCTCTCTCTCTCTCTCTCTCTCTCTCTCTCTCTCTCTCTCTCTCTCTCTCTCTCTCTCTCTCTCTCTCTCTCTCTCTCTCTCTCTCTCTCTCTCTCTCTCTCTCTCTCTCTCTCTCTCTCTCTCTCTCTCTCTCTCTCTCTCTCTCTCTCTCTCTCTCTCTCTCTCTCTCTCTCTCTCTCTCTCTCTCTCTCTCTCTCTCTCTCTCTCTCTCTCTCTCTCTCTCTCTCTCTCTCTCTCTCTCTCTCTCTCTCTCTCTCTCTCTCTCTTTCTCTCTCTCTCTTTCTCTCTCTCTCTCTTTCTCTTTCTTTTTCTTTCTCTTTCTCTGTCTGTCTGTCTGTCTCACTTTTCTTTTCGCTTACCGGTCTTCCTATTTATTTTTATTAGCAGCTCGTACGAAAGCAAAAGCCGAAGGGTAGCTTCGCCGGTTCGTCGGACGTGATCGCTGAGATTTCAAAGGGGATTTCGTTCTACGAGGTATAACAACCCCCTCCGTTTGCCACTATTTTCGTCCACGAATGTGATAGCTTAACTACGTACGTGTGTACCTATTACAGTTTGTCCTAATACAAGTCCAAGCCGGGCAAGGTCGTTACTGGAACCGTTCTAGGTTTCTCTGCACCTTATCTCGCTTTTAATTTTCATGATATTTGAAAAAGATTCCTCCCTTTTCTATTTTCACTCCATAACCTTAAGTGTTTGTCGTTAATTGAGGTAACTTTTTTAAAGTTGTCAATATAAATTTTATTTCGACAGTGATCGAGGGATTTAAGTAAATTGTATTTGGAAAATTCGATAATTATTTTTTTGGAAAAATTCCAAGGATTCAATGTACCTTGAATGACAAAAGAATAAACACGTCGATGTTTTTCCAACAAGCTCATAAATCACGAAGTTTATTTATTTTATAACTTCCTATTTAGGATATTTAATTTATTATACCTTTTGTTTATTTTTTTTTCTCGAAACTTTCTCCCAGGTATTTGTTCAATCAGGTAGTATCGCTATAATGGAATAAATATAAAATCGGATAATCCCAACTCATTAACTATTTAAAATTAAATCAGCGACCTGTTGTTAATGGAATACTTTCTCTATAACTTCACATCTGTATTTATTTATATCTTTGTTATTGTTATATTGTTTTCTTTCTAATACTATCTATAAGTTTCTACTTAATTGCATTTGTATTTTTATTTTTTGTTCTTAATTGTTTAATCAAGTAATAGTTTTATTAATTGTTATTTTCTTTTTCTTTTCATTTATTTATTTATTTTTTTTTTTACAGCTGGCAATTTCTTCTACCTTTTTGCCGTATATGGACATACCCATGGAAATTATTTAATTATATATATGTCTCTCTTTCTAATGCTCTTAATTTAATATAATGCATTTAAGTAAATTTATTCCATTTTTTTTTATTTTTAAATTTATTATAAATCAATATTGTAATTAAAATATAATTGTATTTTGTACTAGCGACGTGATTTGCTTATTACATTGATTCAAAGCAATATGATAGCTTTTATCATTTTTTATTTCAATGAAAGTTATTCAGAATTTGTTTGATAGTTGAACTCAGGAACAAGTATTTATCGCCGTTAAAGTTGATATTGTAAGAAAGAATTATGGCGTCTATTTAAAGCTTATTAATCCTACTTCCTTTTCTTTTTTCCTATCTTCGTGAAAAAAAAAAAATAACTCGACGATATACTAAACATCAGGATTACATATAACATACTCAAGATCAAGATTAGATGTATCTATCGTATCAGTGTTACACGTTAGTATGACTTACTTGAACTTAACGATTGATCTTACGATAACATTTTTTGTTATTTTTCCTATACTTTCTTCCCTCCCTTTCTATTTATTCTTCTCGTTACAGGATTGGACATATCCATCGATCGTACTATACGTGCGTTGATTGCGGCCGTGAAAGAACGCGTATTTGCAGTGCGTTCGAACGCGGGTATTTAAATTTTAAATGGCCAACCAAGCTATCGTACCGTTGTATATTGTACGTGCGCGTTACGGTCAGATAGCTGTAATTCGTTGTACACATCCTCGACGCCTTCGATCCTTTTTGTCGTTTGATTGAATCGAACACTCGACCGGAGTAACTTGTATCTCGTTCGAATATATACGTACCGTACGTATGTACGTATGTACGTTCTCATCGTTGTGTATCTATATTGGACGAACACGCATACATACATACATATACACACACACATATAGACAAATTTATTGATTATCGGACGCACGATTAGATATATAAACCACGTTCTACTGGTCTATTCTTCTTCGTTTGTCGCGTTGTTCGTTGTTTCGAGAAATCAATTTTTCAGACTCGTATCGATACTTTTTCGTGTCCCACGTTAAATTCATAAATCTTCGTACGTGCCGGTGCGATCTATCGGAACGATACAGAAAAGATCACTTTCTAGTCGGTCGAATTTTCTATCTCGGAGCTTTTCTCGAAAGGTTACGAAAGGGAGAGGACGATCTCGATGGATCGTCTTCGAGGGGTTAAAATGTCGATCGCCGGAAGGGATAAAATGGAAAAAGTAAGGGAGGAGAAGGAGAAGGAGGAGAAG